TTGGTAGATGAGTGGGTGGATGGATGGGTGGGTGGATGGTTGGGTTGATGGGTAGATGAGTGGGTGGATGGATGGGTGGGTGGATGGGTTGATGATGGACGGATGGATGGATGGGTGGATGGTTGGGTGGATGAGTGGATGCGTGGGTTGATGGGTGGGTGAACTGATGGATGGTGGGTGGGTGGATGGATGGGAGGACGCATAAATGAATGGATGGGTTGATGGGTGGGTGGATGGGCGGGTGGATGGGAGGACACATCAATGGACGAATGGATGGGTTGACACGTGGATGGGTGGATGGGTGGGTTGATGGGTGGGTGAACTGATGGATGGATGGTGGGTGGGTGGATAGATGGGAGGACGCATAAATGGATGGGTGGGTCGATGGGTGGGTGGACGTGTGGATGGAGAAATGGATGGAAGGGAGAATGGATGGCTGGATGAGTAGAGGGCTGAAGAGTGGGTGGATGGACGGGAGGACGCGTCAGTGGACGAATGGATGAGTGGATGGGTGGGCTGAGGGGTGGTGGACTGACGGACGGATGGTGGGTGGGCGGATGGGCGGAGGATAGATGGGTGGGTGAGTGCCTGGACGCACGGACAAATGGAGGACGGGCGCCAGTTTCGGGCCAAGGAGAGCTTGGGAAAGCACTGGGGAGCCGCTGGCCAAGGCGCCGTTTGCTGTGGAGACTGGGGAGCGTCCTCAGGCCAACGAGACGCGCCCATGAACGGAGCGAGGACTCGGGACACTGAGTCCCTGAGACGACAGGCGACACCCAGAGTTCCTCAGCTGGCCCCTGACTGCCCTGCACCCCCGTCCCACCCTGGATGCCGGGTTGGAGGGACTCCAGAACCCACCAGAGGGGCGGGTCTCGGGACCGGGAGCCACCGGCACCAGCCGCAGCCCCGTGGCCATGTCCCCGGCCTCAGCTTCCCCTCCTGGACCCTGGGCAGGTCCCTGCTGGCCGCAGAGTCTGGCCCGGACCGCCCCGGGACTCCCCGCTGCCTGGGTGACAGCCACATCCCAGGGAAGTGACATGCGGGTGGTTATCAGCGGCCCACATTTCTCAGACGCGAGAACAGGAAGGTGGGGGAGGGCGCGGGCCTTTGTGTCGTGTGTGGGGTGGGGTGAGACCTCCCGGTGCCACAGACAGATGAGGCGCCGTGCTCGCTTGGGGACCTCACTCCTCTGGACACTCGCATGGCCACAGCACGGCAGCCCCAAGCTGCTGATGGGGAAACTGAGTTCGGGAGACGTTTGACGCTTCCCCCGGGCCCCCCATCAGCGGCAGGGCAGACCCGGGCCTCCTCGACCTGTCTCCTTCCTCTGGGACATTCTTTTTCCTTCCTCTGGGACATTCTTTTCCCTCCCAGCATCTCAGTGTCCTCACCTGCATGAGGGGACCCCCAAAACCCCAGAACTTATGTATAAAAGATTGCGCATTTATTCTCACATGTTTAAATTTCAGTCACCTTCCAAATCCCCTCTGTTTGATGTAATCTGCCCGCCGGGACACTGTCCTTCTGCTCAAAATGGGTTTTTTTTGTTTGTTTTGAGTCAGAGTCTGTGTCACCCAGACTGGTGTGCAGTGGCACGCTCAGGCCACCACAGCCTCGACCTTCTGGGCTCAGGCCGTCCTTCTGCCTCAGCTTTCCAAGTAGCTGGAACTACAGGCATGCGCCACCATGCCCAGCTGATTTTGTAATTTATTGTAGAGATGAGGTCTCATCAAGTTGCCCGGGCTGGTCTCGAACCCCTGGACGCAGGGAATCCTCTCGCCTCCACCTCCCAGAGTGCTGGGATGACAGGCGTGAGCCACCGTGCCCAGCCTAAAACGGGCTTTGAACCGGTCAATTCTGATGTCTTTGAGCACTTTTGCCATTTTTTGTTTCACCTCTTCCACGCTGGCGAAACATTTCCCTGGGAGGACTGTTTTCATCAGAGGAAACAAAAGAAAGTCACTCGGGGCGAGACAGGGTGAAGAGGGAGGGTTTTGGGTCAAAAACAGCCGAGCACAGCGTGGTGTGGACAAGTACGCTTGTCAAACACCCATCATGAAAAGGGCAAACACGTTGGAAAACTCTCCAAAAAAACTCCCTGAAGCCTCTCACAACAACGCTGGCTGGTACACGAGTGCCGGTGGGTTCCTAGAACATTTACTCGGGGGAAGCCTGGACTCCAAGGCCACCCTCTAAGAGATGATTTTGGGGTTTCCGGGTCCCTCTTGGAAGGTGGGCGTGGAGTTCCTCCCAGCCTCACGGCTGTTCCCGGCGGCCTCGGGCCGGGGGCTGGCGCCGTGATCGTGCTGTGACCGTTACCGCCCTTGGCATGTCCCAGACGGGACGGGGGTCTGGGGTCCACGGACCAGGGTCCTGAGCTCTGAAACGGGGCATCCCGGTTCCCCGCAGGATCGTGGACGTCGGGGGCCAGAAGTCGGAGCGGAAGAAGTGGATTCACTGCTTTGAGAACGTGATCGCACTCATCTACCTGGCCTCTCTGAGCGAGTACGACCAGTGTCTCGAGGAGAACAACCGAGAGGTGAGGGCCGCCGTGTGTGCGCGGCCAGCGTCCCCTTCGCGACTCTCACGGTGGCTCAGGCAGGAAGGCGGGCGTCCTTGTTCCCGGGTGGCTCTGTGTGTGCCCCGCGTGGCTTTGAACTCGACCCTGCACTCCTCTGGGGTCAGACTGTCGCACGCCGAGACCCAGACCCCCCCCCCCACACACAC